AAACTGGTCTAGAGGATATCTTAGTAGGTGTCCTTACGTTAGAAAATCTTTATAAAATCTCCTATGCAATGCAAAGTTCTGGAAGGTATTTTACCCATATTTCACCTGTAGAATGTCTTCCATTTATTGACGATTTATGTAAAACATCTCTGAAATGGCTTCTTTCTATAAACGAACTATAGAAGGTTTGCAGAAGGCCCTTTAGTTTTATAAAATCTATAAAATGTCGTATAAATATATGAGAAGTTTTTAAGTTGAACTGAAGTTTATGACCAGAGATTTGCGATGGAATTGGTTTTGGAATGAAATTAATTAAGAGAAAACATCCTCAATGGTTAAAATCGACTTCTAGAAAATTGTAAGTTTTGTTCTATAACCCCTAAAAATTGTTGGAATTCTTTGCTCAATTTTTTTTCGACCCTTAAGCCATCTCCAATTGTTTCAAAACTTATTCTCGGTTATGTCTGGTCTTAAAATTATTTGATTTTAAAACATCGTCATCGTAAATTTAGTTCTATAACCCCTAAAATTAGTTGGAATTTTTAGCATTTTGTTAATTTTTTTGTCAATTTTGACCCTTAAGCCACCTCAAGTAGTTTCGAAATTCATTGTCGATTATTTTCATCAAACCTACAGCCCAAGACCTTCTCTGTGTATTGCTATTAAAATTATTTGATTTGAATTTTATACTCACTCTCATTTTGAAAACTCGATGAGTAGAAGTTTCTCCCCTAGTTTTTGGGAACAGTTAACAAAGTTTTAATTTTTTTATATAAAAAATTCAAAATTAAAAACCCTCACCTCTTACTTTTCTGCTGAAAATCAAATACATTTTTATATATATGTATATTTATGAATTAAATATTTATATGTGTTTTTTTTTAATTTATATATGTATGTATATTTTCCTACTGTATGTTATAGTTGTTGTTTTTTTTATTAATATAGCATTATTATTAATGGCTTATTTATAATATTTTTTAAGCTATAATTGTTTTTTTTTGTTTCCTTTCATTTCTGTGGAATGTTAACATTTTTTGTCTGTTTCTTTTTTTTCTTTTATTCTTGTTACTTTCTATACTTATATAATTGTCACAAAACTGTCGATACATCACATTTCATTTGTTGTTGTTGTTATTCTTCTTCTTTTGTTTACCTAAAAGTTTATAGTTTTTTCTCTAGAGATTTGGAGATAAGTTTTAAACCTTCAAAGGATATTTTGTGTTACATCCCCTTATAAAGTTAGATAGAATAGTCCTTCATGTTTCCATAGTTAGGAGAGGAGTAAGGAAAGGGGGTATGTGACCTTTAGGTTTCAGATTTTTTTTCTTTAATTTAATATTTAATTTATAGTTTTTTTCATTTTTAACAATAATAAAAACAAGTTTGTTTTCTTCTTAGAATATATTTATTTTTTTTGTAATTTTGTTTCTGCTTCCCCTAATTTCCAGGAATAAAAGCATCATACACTCACAGTGACAATGTGTTGATGACAATTTCCCTATACAACTGTTGTGCCTTTAAAATGTTCTAGTGTTTGTTGTAGCTGTTTTCTTTTGTTGTTTTTTCTTTTTCTTGTATCTTCATTTGGCAGTGTGTAAACCTAAATTTTTGTATTTTTTCTCATTTGGCAACACAGGGATTTGCAGATGTTTAGTGAGAGTGGGTGGGTGTGTTAGTGTGAGTGTGGCTCTGTGTGCAAGTGTTGCATACAAAAAAATGTCTCTAAAAAAACTTTATAAAAACAATGATATTTCTTTTTGTTGTTTTCATTGCTGTTGTTGTTGTTGCTGTGTAAACTTGTGCCGCTACTTGGTTTAGGAAATCAAGTGCATTTTTTTTAATTTGCATTGTTTGGTGGTGCCTTTGAAACTTTTCTCAATACAGAATTATATAAAGTGAAATCAATCTAATAGAAACTCATATTTACAAAACATTTTGTGTTTTTTTACAACCATTTTCATTGACTAACTAAAGAGAATGAACTAAATTAATAGATAATTAAAGCTGTTTTATTATCAATATTTCTCCTCGTTTTGTTTTGCCAAAGATTTGAAATCCTTGAGGAAACAAATAGATGAAATTGATATTTTTGTAAAATTTTATAAATATATATATTTTTTAATTTTTTCATAATTTTTAAGAGGTTTAGCTATGGTGCACTGAACTTTGTGAATATTTTGAATCCATTTTTTGGGAGGTATTTTTTTGGAACTCAACTTTTGCAGTATTGAAACAGTTATTTAAAAAAAAAACAATTTGTAAAAGTTTGATGTTGAAATGACCATTTAGAAAATATGGTCCAACAGGTGTCAATAATTTTTGTTTGAGGGTTTGATTTTCCAAGCGGAAAGTTATCGAAATTTTTTTTTTAAATTCAAATCACTTGTTTTCTGTAATTCATTAGATTTCTGTTGTAATGGTAAGAATTCCATTTCTTTTTCATTTGCCCAAATTACATTGGGAAAGTTTAATTGCGAAAGGTCTCTTTTGCTATAAGAGAGGTATTGGGAATGGAAAAAAATTACATGTTCTTGGTTTTATCCTGGAAAACAACAACGATCTTTTAATAACCTTCACCATTTTAAAAGAACTTGAAGAATTTCAAAAAAAAAAAAAAAAAAAAAAAAAAAAACAAAAAAAAAAAACAATAACATCCCTAGAAAATTACTTCTTAAATTAAACCCTTTATATTGGGCTATACGAAAACGGTCCGAACCGATCCCATATTTCAAAATACGACATTTGATTTGAAATCATCAAAATACCTAATATCGGAAGGTATTGTTATATGGGGCCTATACGAAGACGTGGGCCAGCCTAGGCGATTTTCATTCATAGGCTGTAGAATTCATTACGAACTTCAACTACGAAATGTGACGCAATTCCGGTGATAAATGTCACTAATATCATAAAAATACCGAAAATCGGGAGGTGTCGTTACATGGAGGCTATAGGAAGACGTGGGCCTGTGTAGGCGATTTTCATTCATAGGCTGTAGAACCCATTACGAACTTCAACTACGAAATTTGACGCAATTCCGGTGAATAATGTCGCTAAAATCATAAAAATACCTAATATCGGGAGGTATCGTTATATGGGGGCTATACGAAGACGAGGACCTGCATAAACTATTTTCTGTAACAGGTTGCAGTACTCATTATACATTTCAACTACGACATTTGAAAAACCGGTGAATAATATCGCTAAAATCATAAAAATACCAAATATCGGGAGGTGTCGTAATATGGTGGCTATACGAAAACGTGAACCTGAAAGGCGATTTTCATTCATGGGCTATAGTACCCATTACGAACATCAAATACGAAATTTGAAACAATTATGGTGAATAATGTCGCTAAAATCATAAAAATATCGAATATCGGATGGTATCGTTATATGGGGGCTATGTGCAAACGTGGACCGACATTGCCAATTTACGAACTTAATCTGCCTACTGGCAAAATTCACATAATTTTAACCTCCTATCTCAATTCGCTCCAACCGAACCAATAGAACCGTATTCTTATTTCGGATTTTATAATCGTTTTGGTTATTCAGAACTTTGACTCTTTGTGGGGGAGGTGCCACAGGTAATAGCATATCATATGTTGAAAGAAATATTGAAATGTGGCAAGTTTGAAAGGAATCGGATGTTAATTTCGCGTTTTATGAGCTTCATAGATATTCACAATTTTGACCTATTGTGGGAGAGGTACCAGAAGGAGTGGATCGATATATTCCATCTTCACGTCAGATCTTGGATTAATAGATATATTGGCATGTGTGTAATTTAAAGACAATCGGATGTTTATTCCACATTTTATTAGAGTTATGATTATTTTACATTTTGACCCTCCGTGGGGGAGGTACTTGATGGAGTGAACGATATTGTCCATTTTCGTGGACAGGATTTGGAAAGTTGGATCATCTTTACTCTTTCTGCGCAGTCAAATATTTTCTTTGAAATTGTTGACATTTTGTGGGGGAGGTACCAGAAGGAGTTGACCGATATTGCCTATCTCCGAACTCGATCTCGATCGAATATTACGATGTACCAAGTTTGGACCAATTCGGATACTCCTTTCGATAATTGAACAGATAGTCGGACGGACATCGCTAGATCGGCTCTAAATGTCCGTTATTTTGATGAGGCACGTTTTGGTCGTATCAAATGATATATACCCACTGCCATATGGCTGAGTGTATAAAAAACGACTACTAAAGGCAGACTTTTGAACTCAACAAAGTAGCTATCATCATATAGGTGCTTCTTCCTTCTCCTATTCGATGATTTTTAAAAATATCGTCCACTTAGCTAACGTGTACTCAGGATATATATGACCCAGACTTCACATTTGAGAACCTGTCAAGTGAGAGCCAAAGTTATTGGCCCGATATAAGCTCTTTCCGACATTCAAATGTAATAATAACAAACATATAATACCCCCAACACATAGTATATGATATGAAGGAGATAGAGATAGTTTTCAAAACCGTATTCAAGTAGGACCTTGTAGATGAGCTGAAGCTAAAGTTGAACGTGAATAAGAACACACTTCAATAAATGAGACTTTAAAGGCGATATAAGATGGAATTTTAAGAAAACAATCCCCTTATGGATTCAAAATATTGTGCAAGTGTTAAAGTTCAAGCGTGCAATATGTGCACTATATGTGTGATCGAAGCTTTAGATCCTAAACTACACCAAATTCATGAACAAAAAATTCGATGAAAGAAAATATTTAGAGATTAGAAAAATCCATCTTGGAAGTTTTTCTATAGTTCAGAAAAAGCCACTTTACATAAGACTCTTAAGGGGAACATTTTGCTACCATTTAATATGTCCTAGTTAGAAATTTTTTTATGAATTTGGTGTAGTTTGTGTTTACCTATAAATAAAAAAAATTTAAATCACAAAAAAAAAATAAATAAATAATAAAATTTAAAAAAAAAATAAAAAAATTAGATAAATAAATAAAACAAAAAAAAAAAAAAAATCAAATCAAATTGTTTTTAAAACTTATATAATTTCTTTACACATATATACAAATTAACATTAAATTAAAAACAACAACATAGGAATGTAAAATAAAATACAAATCGAACTACATTTTGAAGAAAAAATAACATAAATTTGTTTTTGTTTTTTGTAGTCACATTACATATAAATAATTAACGAATTTACGATTTTGTTTAAGTAACACAATAAGTAAAAAATTTCAATGCATTCCCAGTTCCGGCTTTTTTTTTTTTTTTGAAAAAATTACCCTTAATTTCCCATGCCAATTAGCAGCAGCGCAGCTTCACACAATCGTCGAAATGAAATTTTTTGCCTTTGTTTTAGTTGTTCCTTTTTTTTTGTTGGCGGTCGTCGCATGGACGCTCCCAAAAGGAAGAACAAAATTTGTGTTACTTAAACAAAATCTATACGATCCTATGGATTTCCTGTATTGCCCGACGCCTGAGCGTTTTGACGTCGCAAATCGGAACCGATCAGCGCTGTTATGATGGTGCCGCCTATCAACATCACCGCCATGGTGACATTGGCCGTAATATCGCCATAGTCACCCAACAGCCATGAATACAACGATGTAAAGATAATGCCAAAGACTTGAGAGGCAGCATTCAAGAGGCCCGATGATGTGCCTTCCGGTTCGGGATAGGTCAGCTCAGCACCGAATTCAAAGCCAACCGGCAAATAGCCAGTCATAAAGAAGCTGAGGAGAAAAAAAGAGAAACATAAAATATAACAACCGTCTGGACACTTGGATTTCCGTGTCTGCTCCAGCTGACTAGGATGATGATACTTACCCCAACAAGGATGCCGTAACATAAACGACAGCAATACTTCCGGTATCTAAAGTAAAGGCAAACACCCACATTCCCACCATGGAAAAGGCATACACAGCCAGTGTAGTTTCCCTGCAAAGAAAGAAAAACGGAAAATTTGTTAGAAATACCATTACCAGGAAAAATCGCAACAACAATAATATTATCAAACACAAATACACACAGAGAGATGGTATCACAAAGAAAATATTGCATGATTCCACAAATACACCAAGCCAGCAACATCAACACTCAAACAGAGCATGGCTAGACCACAAAAGTCTGGTCGAGTTTTTAGTTAAAGTTCCCTTTTAAAGCTTCAACAATGTAACGGCCAATGCCCGAGGCATGGTACAAAATATGTTTCGCATTAGACTCGAATTTTGAAAAAGAATACAATTTTCAGTTATCCTAGCCTGTCTGTCTGTCTGGCCATATCTGTTCCACATTTTTGGTTCTTAATTAACAACAGAAATTTAATTTTTTGAAAGCTTTTACTTTTTGGCCAGTCATATTTTATAGTTGATTATCAAATTAAATTATCATTGCATTCTATACTTTCGGGAATAGATAACATTTTAGAAGAGAAACAAAAAAGGGAGACTCTTTTCATAAAGAATGAAGGGGGACTCTTCGACGAGAGAAATTTATGGATCCGATAGGAGTCTGAGGAGCCGAAGGGAATCTTTAGAAGATCACTAACAGAAGCATTTTAGGGAAGGTAGGGGGTATTTTTTAGAGTTAAATGAAGTCTTTGTTAAGAAATTATTTATATATGAGTTGAGGAGAGTATTTTTAGGCGAGTTGTGGATAACATTTATAGCCACGCTGAAGTCGGAATGAGTCTTTTTAATTGGGTTAGAGATTTTTTTAGACAAGTTGATGGGAATATTTTTAGGCGATTTGAAGAGAATTTTTGGATGATGAATTATTCAGAGACAAGTTGAAGGGAGTCTTTTACAGAGGAGGCGAAGGAAACATTTATAGACGAGTTAAAAAAAAGTCTTTATAGACGAATTGAGGAGAGTATTTAAAGACGAGCTGAAGTGCCTTTATTGCTGGAATGAAGGGATTTTTTTTGCGAGGGTTGAATTGAGTTTTTTTATGCGAGTTTAAGGAAGTCTCTTTTTCGACAAGTTTATGAGAGTATTTTAAGATGAGTTAAATTGAATCTTCATGGACGAGTCGAAGGGAGCCTTTATGGACGAGTCGAAGGGAATTTTAATAGATTAACCAAAAGGAATGCTAATAGACGGGCTGGATGAATTTTTTTAGACGAATCAATGCAAGTCGTCTTTTGGATGATTTTTTAGACGAGCCTTTTTAGATGAGTAAAAGGAAGTCAATTTAGACGAATTTAAGAAAATCTTCCTAGGCAACTCGAAGGTGGTGTTTTTTGATGAGTAGAAAGAAGTGCCTTTAGACGAGTTGAAGAGAGTCTTTTAAGAGGCTTTCGAACGGGAGACTTTGGACGAGTTGAAGGGAGTCTTTTCAGACGAGTTGGAAGTAGCATTTTAAGGGCATTTAAAGGAATTATTCATAGAGTTGCGCAGAGCCTCTTTAGACGATTTGAAGGGAGTTTCTTTAGGCGAGTTAAATGAAGTTTATAGACGAGTTTAAAAGTGTTTATATACGAGAAGAGGAGAGTATTTATAGACAAGTTGAAGAGAGAGGTTGAGGTGCTGGATGAAGTAAGTCTCTTTAGATGGGTTAAAGAAAGTTTTTTAGACGAGTTCTAGGGAAATCTTTTTTACAAGCTGATGGGACGGGTTGGAGGAAGTTTTTTGGATGAGTATTCATAGACAAGTTGAAGCGAGTCTTTTTAGGCGAATTGAGATGAGTTAATTAGTCGAGTTGAAAGTAGTTTTTATAGATTATTTTTAGACGAGGTGAAGGAAGTCTATTTAGGCGAGTTGAAGGGAGTTTTTTGGATGAGTATTCATAGACAAGTTGAAGCGAGTCTTTTTAGTTTTTATAGACGAGGTGAAGGGAGTCTTTTGAGACGAGTAAAAGGAAGTCTATTGAGACGATTTTAAGGAAATATTTTTAGGATAAATATTTGAAATCGATTTGGTCGGCCTCCTCATAAAGTGGTTAAAATCAAAAAACTATTTTAGGAGATTACTAGAAAACGGACTAATAAATGTCGAATTTTCAACTCGACCAAGTATTTTAAGTTCCCATTCTGTAAATCCTTCTGCCTTCTATGCGAAGTTTATTAAAATAACATCCACTAAATTAACGGTAAACAAATGTAATCGGGCTATGAAAATATATACCATTAAATATGTAGTTCGATCACTGATACTCCCAAGAACCTGAAGGCCAAACTCGGTAACTTATCAAGTGAGAGCCACTTTTAGACGAGTATTGTGGGGTAGACGAAGTGGAGTGGGGTTTATGGGAGTGCTTATATACGAGCCTAAGTCAATCTGAAGAAGACCGCTCATATACGAGGTGAAGAACCCCTGTAGCCAAGTCCTGAATTGAAGAAGGAATGAAGGGAGTGTTCAAGCTTAAAGGGGCTGAAGGAAGTCTTTATTGCCGTACTAAATAGGGGCCGAAGAAATCCCACCATAGACGAACTGAAGGCGTCCTTTAAGAATCTGCCGAGTTGAAGCGAGACTGAAGACATTGTTTGTAGACGAGCTACAAGACTGCAGAGAAAACTTATTTGCGAGTTAAATAAATGCTTTTATAAAAACTTATGTAAGGCTGTAGGGAGTGCTTATAGACGAGTTAAGGAGGAGCTGAAGGACATTTCTTTGATAGGCGAGCTGAAGTCCGTTTGGCTGAAGACAGTCTCATTCATAGACGAGCAGATAGACAGAAAGTCGTCCCATTCATAGACGAAACTAAAGCCGGCTGAAGGTCGTTTTTCTTTTCGATAAGAGGTGAAGCTCGACTTAAGGCCGTCTAACAGAGACAAGTTGAAGCTCTGCTGAAGATCGCCTTTCAAACACGAGTTAAAGCTCGGCTGAATACTGTCTTTCAGAGATGAGCTTAAGCTCTACTGAAAACCGTCTTTCAGTAACGATCTGATGCTCTGTTGAAGGCTGTCTCTCAGAGACGAGCTGAAGCTCTGCTGAAGGCCGCCTCTCAGAGACGAGCTGAAGTTCTGCTGAAGGCCGTCTCTCAGAGACGAGCTGAAGCTCTGCCGAAGGCCATCTCTCAGAGACGAGCTGAAGCTCTGGTGAAGGCCGTCTCTCAGAGAAGAGCTGAAGCTCAACTGAAGGCCGTCTCTCAGAGAAGAGCTGAAGCTCAACTGAAGGCCGTCTTTCAGAGACGAGCTGAAGCTCTGCTGAAGGCCGCCTCTCAGAGACGAGCTGAAGTTCTGCTGAAGGCCGTCTCTCAGAGACGAGCTGAAGCTCCGCCGAAGGCCATCTCTCAGAGACGAGCTGAAGCTCTGCTGAAGGCCGTCTCTCAGAGACGAGCTGAAGCTCTGTTGAAGGCCGTCTCTCAGAGACGAGCTGAAGCTCTGTTGAAGGCCGTCTCTCAGAGAAGAGCTGAAGCTCAACTGAAGGCCGTCTCTCAGAGAAGAGCTGAAGCTCAACTGAAGGCCGTCTTTCAGAGACGAGCTGAAACTCTACTGAAGGCCGTCTCTTAAAGACAACCTAAAGCTTTGCTGACGAGCAGGGACGAGCTGCAGCTCTGCTGAAGGAAGTCTTCCTGAGACGAGCTGAAGCTCTAATGAAGGAAGTCTTTCAGAGACGTGCTGAAGATCTCTTGAAGGCCAGCATTCAGGGACGAACTGAAGCTCTGCTAAAGGTCCTCTTGCAGAGACTAGCTAAAGCTCTGATGGAAGACGTCTTTCAGTGTACAACTGAAGCTCTGCTGGAGGTCGTCGTTCTGAAGCAGTGCTGGAGGTCTTCTTTCGGTGACGAGCTGAAGCTCTTCTAAAGGCCTTCTCTCAGAAAAGAGTTGAAGATCTGCAGAAGCCCATTTTTCATAGTTTAGTTAGAAATTAAAGCAAGGAGTTTTTGAAAGGAGGAAGTAGCGAATCATTCATAGAAGAGATTAGACAAGATGTCTCACATAGCCGATACTTTTAAAGGTGGATCTTACGGAACAAGGAAGCAGGGAGTCATTATAGATAGACTAAGGAAACAAACTTTTTATGGCCAGTCTGTATTTAAAAAGCCTTCTGAAGGCTGTCTCTGGATATGACACCTCCAAATATCTTAAAATGATAAAAGGCGTTGCAGTAGCCTTCTATGGACCGAAGAATTTCTCAAAAGGTTCCTTGGTATGAGCAACGTTTGCTGAAGACAAATACGATTTTGTCATGTATTTGTTAAAGCTTAAAAGTCTTCTATGAAAAAGGACACTATCTCTGAAGCCTTAAAGACGTCAAAAATATGCTATTTTCTTAATATACAAGTCGGAAAAAGATTTTTCATTTACAGACGTGTCACAGAGAGCCAGGCATTTTTGTATAAACCGTGTTTATCTACGGTGGGCCAATGTCTATAGAAATATTGAAGACCTTCTATCAAATATTGAAGACCTTCCAAATAAGTTTTTTTCTTTTCCCCCTCATAACTTCATTAACTTCTAAAGGCCATCTGTTGGACATATATGAGTCGACATAGTTTTTATAGAAATACCACTCCTGATCTTGGCTAGAAGTCCGCAACACGACCTTAAGAAGGTTCAATCCTGAAGCCTATAATTTTAAGGAGGAATAATATTATTGATGTTGAAAACAATTACACCCATCCTTTATGCAACCACCCTCGCAGGCAACACCATAACCTATTGCAATGTAAAAAAAAAATATTGTCCATAAAATAATAAACAATAATTCAATTTTTTTTCTCTTCTTCTTCGATGTTATAATGCAAACAGACGGGTTATTGCAATAAACATGGTTAGCATCTGGTCGATGACAGGTCGGTTGGATGGTCGGTGCAAAAATGCTGTTGCAGCATTTGATTTGTATTATTAATGGGAATTATTTTTATTTTCTTTCCATTTTTTTCTGTCAGGAAATTCATTGCCAATGGCGGAGGACATTTAAAAAAAATATGAAAAAAAAAAACGGTTTAGAAAAACTATTTCCCACAATTTATTATTCTTAGGATGGGTTTGTGGAGCGTATGATTAATATTATGAGTGAAAAATAAACAAAATAAATTATACGTCCAGGTTATTTAAATATATCATTTAATGTCAGATCAGTGGGTGTAAACATTACAACATGGCGGGAAGCAACCTCTCCAACATTTAATGGTTATTTATTGTGGCTAGAAACATGAATATTATTCCTTTTTAGAGGTTTGCATTTTCTTTTCGATTTCCTTCCTTTCCCCAAAAAAAACCCAAAGAACATTAAAAACATTTTAGTACTTACTTGAATTTATGAGATTTATCCAAAACAATGCCCGAAACAACTGAACCCAACATGCCGGATAAGACAATGGCCAGGCCAATGCGGCCAGTATCCACTTCATGGCCGGGATAATATTTGAGCACCACCTACAGCCAACAACAACAGCAACACCAAAATAGAGGTAAAACATAGAAAAGAAAATGTGGTCATCAGTAAGAAGTTTGTTCAAGAAAAAGTGTTATTCTTCAAGTAAACCTTAGGATTTGTCCTTGAGATTCCAAAAAAAAAAAAAAACAAGTAAAAAAGCTGTAAGTTCGGCCGGGCCGAACTTTGAATACACTCCCCCATTTGGTACAGATTAGGCAATTTTAAAAAAATAAAATCCATGGAAAATTCTGTTAAAATTCTAAAAATACCGAATGTAGTCGTATATTAGGTACTATACGACGTGGACCTGCATAGGCAACTTTTGTTACAAGTTATTACAATATTCAAATGCGAAACTTGAAAAAAACCTGTTTATAATGTACCTAAAATCATCGAAATACCGAATATAGGGAGGTACTATGGGGGTTATAAAACGTTGACCTGCACAGACAATTTTCTGGCATAGGCTGTAGCATCCATTGCGAACTTCAAATGCGGAGTTTAAAACAGAGGGAGTATTTTGACGTTTTAACGATGGAAACTTTTAAAAATGAAACAACAGGAAGACCCTGCCTAAGAGGAAGTTTTAAAAAATAACGAGATTTTACAGATCTTTATAGACGAGCTGGTGGCCAGGGAGTCTCTGCGGGTCAGGACGTCTCTTTACAGACGAGCTGAAGGCCAGGGAGTCTTTATATAGACGAGCTGGCGGTCAGGGAGACTTTTATAGACGACCAGGGAGACTTTATAGACCAGCTTGTGGCCCGGGGAGTCTTTATATAGACGAACTGGTGCCAAGGGAGTCTTTATGTAGACGAACTGGTGCCAAGGGAGTCTTTATATAGACGAGTTGAAGGCTAGGGAGTCTTTATAGACGAGCTGAAGGCCATGGAGTCTTTATAGACGAGCTGAAGGCCAGGGAGTCTTTATAGACGATCTGAGGGGCCGGGGAGTTTTTTTAGAAGAGCTGAAGGCCAGGTAGATTTTATAGACTCAGTTGAAGTCTTTATATAGAAGAGCTGAATGCCAGGGAGTCTTTATAGACGAGCTGGTGGCCAGGAAGTCTTTAAAGACCAGCTGGTAGCCAGGGAGTCTCTATAGACCAGCTGGTGGCCAGGTAGTCTTTATATAGACGACCTGAAGTTCAGGGAGTCTTTATAGACGAGCTGAAGGCCAGGGAGTCTTTATAGACGAGCTGGTGGCCAGGAAGTCTTTATAGACCAGCTGGTGGCCAGGGAATCTTTATAGACCAGCTGGTGGCCAGGGAGTCTTTATAGACCAGCTGGTGGCCAGGGAGTCTTTATTTAGACGAGCTGGGGGCCAGGGAGTCTTTATAGACGAGCTGAAAGCCAGGGAGTCTTTATAGACGATCTGAGGGGCCAGTGAGTTTTTTTTAGAAGAGCTGAAGGCCGGTTAGACTTTATAGACTCAGTTGAAGTCTTTATATAGACGAACTGAAGGCCAGGGAGTCTTTATAGACGAGTTGAAGGCCAGGGATTCTTTATATAGACGAGCTGAAGGCCAGGGAGTCTTTATAGACCAGCTTGTGGCCCGGGGAGTCTTTATATAGACGAGCTGGTGCCCAGGGAGTCTTTATATAGAAGAGCTGAAAGCCAGGGAGTCTTTATAGACGAGCTGAAGGCCAGGGAGTCTTTATAGACGAGCTGGTGGCCAGGAAGTCTTTATAGACCAGCTGGTGGCCAGGGAATCTTTATAGACCAGCTGGTGGCCAGGGAGTCTTTATAGACCAGCTGGTGGCCAGGGAGTCTTTATTTAGACGAGCTGGGGGCCAGGGAGTCTTTATAGACGAGCTGAAGGCCAGGGAGTCTTTATAGACGATCTGAGGGGCCGGGGAGTTTTTTTAGAAGAGCTGAAGGCCAGGTAGATTTTATAGACTCAGTTGAAGTCTTTATATAGAAGAGCTGAATGCCAGGGAGTCTTTATAGACGAGCTGGTGGCCAGGAAGTCTTTAAAGACCAGCTGGTAGCCAGGGAGTCTCTATAGACCAGCTGGTGGCCAGGTAGTCTTTATATAGACGACCTGAAGTTCAGGGAGTCTTTATAGACGAGCTGAAGGCCAGGGAGTCTTTATAGACGAGCTGGTGGCCAGGAAGTCTTTATAGACCAGCTGGTGGCCAGGGAATCTTTATAGACCAGCTGGTGGCCAGGGAGTCTTTATAGACCAGCTGGTGGCCAGGGAGTCTTTATTTAGACGAGCTGGGGGCCAGGGAGTCTTTATAGACGAGCTGGGGGCCAGGGAGTCTTTATAGACGAGCTGAAAGCCAGGGAGTCTTTATAGACGATCTGAGGGGCCAGTGAGTTTTTTTTAGAAGAGCTGAAGGCCGGTTAGACTTTATAGACTCAGTTGAAGTCTTTATATAGACGAACTGAAGGCCAGGGAGTCTTTATAGACGAGTTGAAGGCCAGGGATTCTTTATATAGACGAGCTGAAGGCCAGGGAGTCTTTATAGACCAGCTTGTGGCCCGGGGAGTCTTTATATAGACGAGCTGGTGCCCAGGGAGTCTTTATATAGAAGAGCTGAAAGCCAGGGAGTCTATATATAGACGGGCTGAAGGCCAGTGAGACTTTTTATAGGCGAGCTGAAGGCCAGGACAATTTTCTGTCATAGGCGGTAGTATCCATTACGAATTTCAAATGGGAAATTTGAAACAATTTCGGCAAATAATGTCGCTAAAATCATCAGAATACCGAATATCGGGAGGTACCGTTATATGGGGGCTATACGAAGACGTGAACCTGCATGGCTCATTTTCTGTCGTAGGAGGTAGTATCCATTACGAACTTCAAATACCAAATTTGAAACAATTCCGGTAAATAATGTCGCTTAAATCACCAAAATAGCGAATATCGGGAGGTACTGTTATATGGGGGCTATACGAAGACGTGGACCTACATGACCCATTTTCAATACCAAAAGTCCTGCAGACATAATACACATTTGAGTAAAATTTTATCAACCTACGTCATTTTGTTCGGAAGCTAGAGTGATTCCAAAGACGGATAGACGGACAGGCGGACGGACATCGCTAAATCGACATAGAATTTTATGCTGATCAAGAATATATATATTTTGTGGGGGTCTAAAATGTATATTTCGAGGAGTTACAAACGGAATGACAAACTTAATATATCCTCCATACCATGGTGGAGGGTATAAAACCGAAGAAACTCACCGGATTCAATAGCGTTGATATGGCATAGAACACTCCCACATTCATGCCATATGAGATGAGCAGCAGAATATAGTTGCGGTTCAGCATTAAATTCTTTAACGAAGTCTTAAAGGAGACTTGATTTTGTGCTTCAATAGAGCCAGGCAAGGCCACCTTTTGGGCAGCTGAGGGCGGGGTGGGTGGTTTATCTTGGAAAACTGCAAAAAACACAAATAAAAACAATTTGGTGGTTAGACAATGTTTAAACATTTGGTTGGAAATTTCCACATCCACACTTACACAGCACCATTAAAATGGCCAGAACGGTTGTTACGCCAGCCACATAATTGAACATCCATTGCAAATCGTGACCAACCATATCTTGATCTTCATTGTTTGCCACCAGCATAGGAGGCAGCACAAAACCCAAAGCAACGCCCAGCTGGAGAGATACAAAGAGAAAATACAAATAGGGAATAATTAAAAATTGTCCTTCGTTTTGGATAAATGTGGCCATAAAAGCCATAATTTTGGCACCAAAAATAACAACAAACAAAATGCCAAAGGCTGCTGGCTCTTTCTCCTACTCTCCCACTCAAAACCAGTGATGTGAGTGTGGATTAAAAACTGTTGACTGTTTTATGGCTTGGCTGCAGTTTCATGGCATGCTATTTTTTCCCTCCTCCCTTTTACGCTACAAAATGCGTTATAGTTCCCCACCCCCTCTCCTCCATCTCCCTTAAAACGCATTCCACCCAGTGCTGTTACAGACTTCCGTGTTTCGTACTTTTACTTTTTGTCCTGTTATCCATTTCTTTTTTTTTTTTGCGAACATGTTCTCGCTCTAATGTTCATTGAGCCATTGCACTATGGGTTTTTTTACGTTTATTTTGGCATAAACTCTAATTTCAAAGCTATGGAATTGAAATTTGGTTTGTATGCATTTTTTATGCTTCCAAGATGACCTACCAATTTTCATATGATTTGGGGCACTATTTCATATAGCTGCTATATAGCCGATCTGGCCGATTTGACCCAACTTTTTTGTTTATGAAGCTATTGAAGTGAAATTTGGTTTGTATTAATTTTTTATACCCCAAAGATGACTTACGAATTTTCATATGATTTGGGGCACTATTTCATATAGCTGCTATATAGCCGATCTGGCCGATTTCACTCAATTTTTTTTGTTTATAAAGCTATTGAATTGAAATTTGGTTTGTATTCATTTTTTATGCCCCCAAGATGACCTACCAATTTTCATATGATTTGGGGCACTACTTCATATAGCTGCTATATAGCCGATCTGGCCGATTTCACCCAACTTTTTTGTTTATGAAGCTATTGAATTGAAATTTGGTTTGTATTCATTTTTTACGCCCCCCAAGATGCCCTACGAATTTTCATATGATTTGGGGCACTATTTCATATAGCTGCTATATAGCCGATCTGGCCGATTTGACCCAACTTTTTTGTTTATGAAGCTATTGAATTGAAATTTGGTTTGTATTCATTTTTTATGCCCCCAAGATGACCTACCAATTTTCATATGATTTGGGGCACTATTTCATATAGCTGCTATATAGCCGATTTTTTGTTTATGAAGCTATTGAAGTGAAATTTGTTTTGTATACATTTTTTATTCTCCCAAGATGAAACATATATGGGGAAACATATTGCTCATTCATTACTATAATTATACTTTTGCTAAACCATTTTGAATGTTTAGTTTTAAATCGCTCTAGTTTACGGTTACACTTTGGCAAATGCTTTTTTATATAATTTACAAAATTTTTAACTTGTTTTGATATCAAACGCATTTGGTCTTCATTTAAAGTGATATTGTTGATATTCTGTACCACATATTTTACTAGTGCATCTTCTGAGCGATTGTTGCTGCTCCAAATTTCAATAAGCGCTGCGTGGGCAAACACGTGTTTATCTGCAAAACACGTGTTGGCACAAAATAGAACAAAAAAGGCTAGTTACTCATTAATTAACACACTTTTGTTAATAACTTGGCATTTATACCTTTTTGCAATGCTTTGCCATTCACAAGTTACACTCCACGGAACACAACTACAATTTATAGATTTTATATAAAGCTATACATAAACGAAACATTTCACAGTATTACAACAACAGACAATTATGACAAAAAGGGCACCTCGTCTTAATTTTACATACCTGCACTAACGTTTTCCATAATTACACATTTTATTTTTTTTCAATTTTGTCAAATCAGAAGCACTTGAACTTAGCTGATCTTTACCGCCAGTTGTACCAAAACAAAGTGACTTTCAAACAGCTGACTTTAAAAGCTCGCCAGCAAAAAAGGGTTGCCACCTGTATTGATATTAAACATTTTTTTTTCTAATATGGGTATCTACATTTAGGAAATCAGTTAAATTTCAAAATATGAAACCAAAAAAAAATGACTTTATGCCAAAAAATCATGCTTTTTACCCATAGTGCATTGTAAAAAATGACAGTTTTATAGTTTGGCAAATTGTTGGGGGCACATGAGTGACACATTTCCCGATAGTCACAGTTCATAAAGAATAATGGCCCAAAGTGCTAGTCCGACTGGAAATACTCTCGTAAAAAATGAGCTAAGTTGGTGGCAAAGAAGAAAAAAAGAAACTGATAAAAAGAAAATAGTAAACTGGCCAAAGGATTCCATTTGACACTGATGTACTGGTGGTCAGTTGCCTGTGATGCGGTGAAAGTGAACAAAAACTACTTTTTTTCTATGGGAAATTCTTAGAAGTAATGCAGGCCAGAGGCAGCATCATTTGCTGCCCTGACGAGATAAGGAACCTATAAATTTATTTATTAGCACCACAAGCAGAGGGCAATTTTCATTTGAAAAATTTATAAAGATTTTTGGGGAGTTAAGATTCGGAAAAAAATGAAAAACGAACCAAAGGGGGAGACCCTGCATATGAGGAAGTTTTAAAAAATAAAGTGATTTTACAGATCTTTATAGACGAGATGGTGGCCAGAAAATCTTTATAGACGAGCTGGTGGCCCGGGGAGTCTTTAAAGACGAACTGGTGGCCAGCAAGTCTTTAAATACCAGCTGAAGGCCAGGGAGTCTTTATAGACGAGCTGGTGCCCAGGGAGTCTTTATAGACGAGCTGGAGGCCAGGGAGTCTTTATAGACGAGCTGGAGGCCAGGGAGTCCTTATAGACGAGCTGGAGGCCAGGGAGTCCTTATAGACGAGCTGGAGGCCAGGGAGTCCTTATAGACGAGCTGGAGGCCAGGGAGTCTTTATAGGCGAGCTGAAGGCCAGGGAGTCTTTATAGGCGAGCTGAAGGCCAGGGAGTCTTTACAGACGAGCTGGTGGCCAGGGAGTCCTTATAGACGAGCTGGAGGCCAGGGAGTCTTTAAATAGACGAGCTGGAGGCCAGGGAGTCTTTAAATAGACGAGCTGGAGGCCAGGGAGTCTTTAAATAGACGAGCTGGAGGCCAGGGAGTCTTTAAATAGACGAGTTGCAGGCCAGGGAGACTTTATATCGACGAGTTGGAGGCCAGGGAGTCTTTATAGAGACGAGCTGGTGGCCAGGGAGTCTTTATAGAGACGAGCTGGTGGCCAGGGAGTCTTTATAGAGACGAGCTGGTGGCCAGGGAGTCTTTATAGAGACGAGCTGGTGGCCAGGGAGTCTTTATAGAGACGAGCTGGTGGCCAGGGAGTCTTTATAGAGACGAGCTGGTGGCCAGGGAGTCTTTATAGAGACGAGCTGGTGGCCAGGGAGTCTTTATAGAGACGAGCTGGTGGCCAGGGAGTCTTTATAGAGACGAGCTGGTGGCCAGGGAGTCTTCTAGAGACGAGCTGTCGTCTTTTAGATATGAGCTGATGGTCGTCTTTCAGAGACGAGTTGATGGTCGTCTTTCAGAGACGAGCTGATGGTCGTATCTGTAGTCAAGACAAAGGTAGTCCTTACAAACGAGGCTATGAGAGCCTTAAAAGTTAAGACAAGGCAGGAGAGATGCAGAAGCCTTGGAAAACGAGTGGGAGTTTTTTATAGTCGAGCTGTCACAGGGAGAGTACCTTATAGTCAAGCTGTTGCGAGGAGAGTCACTCATAGTCGAGCTGTCATAGGGAGAGTCACTCATAGTCGAGCTGTCATAGGGAGAGTCTCTCATAGTCGAGCTGTCATAGGGAGAGTCTGTCATAGTCGAGTCTCTCATAGTCGAGCATTCACAGTGAGAGTTTCTCATAGTGGAGCTGTCACAAGGAAAGTCTCTCATAGTAGAGATGTCACAGGGAGAGGCTCTTACAGCCGATCTGCCACAGGGAGTCTCTTTCATAATCGAGCTGTCACAGGGAGAGTTTCTCATAGTGGATCTATCGGAGGGAGAGTCTCTCACAGACGAGCAACCGTTTTTTGACGAGCTAAAATAATCCTCTCCAGGGAATTTATATCGTCTATAATATCGGCAAGAAGAGAACTAGGAGAGGTTGTGTTTTCCTCAGACAGTTTAGGTGAGTAGTTCGACAGGCTAGCAAATATAAATAGTTAAACCGGTCAAAATGGACACTGGCCGGAAAAGGAAGTTTTTGGACAATCTGAAGAGTTGGGGGTTTTTCGAATATTTTTTCATCTCTAAATTTTGGGATTTTTTTAATTTTTTTTCCACTTAGGCCGATCAATCCCTTATCCACCATCGCGGGCAAATCTTCTAGCCACTTATCTGGATACAATTTTTTCATTCTTGTCTTAATCTTGTATCCATTGCCATGGAGTAATCTTTTACCCACTTCCATGAATAATTTTTTTCTCCACATATCTAGGCATATATGTCCCGCCATGTATGTACATAACTACAAACATATGTACGTTTATCTCAATGGGTGGCACTTTTGTTTGTTGATGATTTGAATGGCTTAAAACTGATTCCGAAAAAAATCCTTCTCCCACATTTTCGTTAATATTCTGCAGGATTAAATGCCAACAAATGTTGTGTGTGTTCGTGGGAGGATCTGAAATTGTTCTATTCTATATTTTTCACAGTTTTTTAAACGACATTTAGAGACTTAACACAAAAAAAAAAAAAAAAAGAACGGCGAACAAAACAAAATGCCAATGAACAGACTAATGACAACAAATATCCTGTGCAGGGAATAATAACGGCACCGAGACTCGCTGAGCACGTCCACACACATGTAATGAACATAAATGGGAATAAACATAAATTATCCGCCATTGTTTTAAGTGTTTGAGTTAATTAGAAATTGTCTTTCTCCAATGGATGACAAAATGTATGAGGAGGAGGAGGAGTAGACGATGAAGGGTGGTAGGCAAATGTTGGAATAAAACCTTGAATTGTTCTATACGACGACATGTGGAAAGGAGGCAGGCAGCACATACTTGAATGTTTGTTCGGTGGAGTCGCTCAATTTATTTAAATTTCAAACACAAACATAAGTTTCTGTG